TATATATATATATGATATATATATATATATATATATATGATATATATATATATATATACAAAGGTGGCTGTACAACGCATGCGATAGTCGAGACACAATGAACTAATAGCGTCGGTTAGTGCTGATGGTGCAGAATCCACCTCTAAGAGTCATAATGACTAGGCCGTTTGATCAGAAATAGCTACTGTTGAGGCTGGTTGACAACAGGCAGGACGCCACTTTCAAATCCGGGCGTAGACACTTCGTTTCGTGCTAAGAACCAATGGTTTGAAGTAAAGATTAACGGCAATACCAGAAGTAAAACTTGAAAGATCTAGTGTTTGCTACGACGCCAGCAGAAATGATAGCGAACGGGTAGCAGCGATCCACGATCGGCACGAACCTCAATCGGTATCAAAAATGAATAGTAACCATAGACGAGAATGTCCAGAAGCAATCATCAATATGATCATTGTCCTTATTATCGCCATCACTACCATTACCATTAAGTGCACGAAGCCCGTAGCAGCAAAGCCGACTACCTTTGCATTTCTGCTGAAAATTCTGCCCGCGCGCGTCGGCAGGAAGAATTTAGGAGCGTGTGGTGTTGGCGAACAGGTATGAATTGTTTGTAATAAACCATCTGTAATGCAGGTGACCATGCACGACGAAAACGCTTGACACTTTGGATAGAGGACGGCTGGCGATGACGAAATGAAGAAGACCAAGTACGAATGAAAAAAAAAAATAAAGTGCTTGTTATCAAAACGGTGATACGGGCTAACTATTGGTAACACAAAGGCGGAGAAAAGTTGTAGACTGCGGCTAGCCGAGGAGAAATATATCAGAGATATATTGGAGATACCATCACAGCGGTATCGACGATCATGTGGGCCATTTTGGGTTGATATTGTTAACACATTTTTTAGAGCCATTTCGTTTCTTGATGAACCAGAACGAAGTCTGTAAAACAAATAAAAATTTGGCGGCGGCGATTTTCATTAGAATTAGTTATGCGCCATCGGTACGCTATTGTCGCTGAGAGAAATAGTTTGTACGGATGCGTTAATTAAAACTTGCGCCCTACGATTATTGAAATTATAATCATAAACCTTTATTCAGTATTACTATGAATATCATTACTGTGCAGCGAAATTAGTACCGTTCCCGAAACAAGTCAATGATACGAAAATGTCTCGGAGGTCCCTGGTCCGAGTCTGCCAATTCGCGTATGTACAATGCTAGGAATGGTATCGACTATAGTCACACAGCTTTAACATAGCGTAAATAATGTCGTAATGGTTAAGTTATGACTAGTAGTCTATGTCGAGGTGGCCCACTTATGGTTGTGGTTTCATTAACCTCGACCGAAGACTGCTTGACTTCACATGCGTACGTCTATTTGATTCCAGCAGGTTAGAACAATGAACATTGTTAAGACACCGCAAAATGGTAGGACACCGCCAACTTGGAAGAAAGTCTATACTAGAGTCACCGGACTAAGCGCTGCATACAAGCGTTGAGCGTACGCATTTATTTAACTTGTTGTTAATTGTAGTTCAATTACAAACGAGAGAAATTGGTCTAAATCAATTACAGAACTTGATCACGCTAATTAATGTTTTTCTGATAAAGCAAAGCGAGTGAATCATCGGGATTGTAATCAACGGAATTGACTGCTTTTTTTGGCAGGGAAAGACCAATATCGCTTGTTGCTGAAGCGACGGTATTCCAAGGCCTTTGCATCTGTGTAATCGATAACTTTACGGCCTAGGCGAAGGCATGCTCACGAAAAGATATGAAATTGCATAACAAGTTAGTCCTATTAGCTAAGAAAAAGCTTACCTCTATATTCTATCCACGAGTCATTCGGTGACATTAAACAGTCGGAAACCTTTAACATTATAGAAAACATGTGGCTATTTGTATTACGTAGCAATCACGCTATAGGAAGAAATATCGAGAAGTCACCAACTTGTCAGAATGCCTACCGATCGACATAAGGACTTCGTTAAGGTCGTAAAGTTCATTCTAATGCTCGTAAATTCTAGAAAGCATCGTTGTTCGAGAAGTAGTACGGCATTGATGGGCCCGAATAAATCTAAGTACTGTGATTCAGTGCTGACTTCAGACAACTGATCCGTAAGGGATTCACCGCTCCTCTGTCGTACTATTTAATGAAGTTACAGAGTTGCACAATGTGAAGAACTAGTCAGTATCAAACTTGGCAGAACCCAATCCGACGCTACACGGAATGTCCATGATCATTCGACTCTTACTATGTACGTCAATGCATTTAATCCGTTTGCTAAGAAAAAAACGTCTGGGAATAAGTACAGGTTTTTCAAATTTTTTTTATTCTTGCGAGAAAGTATCTCCGTGGCGACAAGAAACCTATACAGAGGCGAAACAACACATATCAGGGTTAAATGGATACAAAGTCGGTTATGTATGTCGCTCACGTCGTTAATAGTAGTATTTAAAAGAGTCTCAAAACCAAAAGTTACGAGGCACTTCAAGAAAAAAAAAAGATAATTTTGGGTCGCGTAAAAAAGACAGGTCTTGATTTTGGCAGAATTGATAATAAATATAAACGCAGATATAGTAACAAAAGCAATATAATATACAAACGCCAGTGAAACTACAAGTAACAAATTTACCACTGAATTATTTAATTCAATAGAAGTTACTGGCCGCTGAAAATGATACCGATACTGAAGTAATCTACGCCGTACCATATTATACATTACGACACGATTTCACGATATCCCTTTGAAAGCAATCTCGTCTTATCTGATAACTTGGACTGATTTAATCATTTGGCAATCGATACAGGTTTGCGAGACAAGCCAGTGGTAAATA